GCGTATAACTAGGTGAAAAACTTACAGATGGTTATAAACAAGTCACTTAATAGGAAAGCATTGTAACACTTGATGAATGTTGTGAACATTTAAACAAATAAATTTATACCTCAACATTTGGTTGTCGAACATCTGATGCATACAACATTCACAATTTGAACTTGTATAGCCTGTAGGGGTCAAGTTTCTTGTCTACAAACTATGCATCTACCTCTTCTTTATAATCTAATATTCAAAAGAGACCGATTTCAACGAAAAAGTCCAAACAATAAAGACAAAGTTTTTTTAAATGAATTACAGCCAGAGTGGGGGAGAGAGTCCCCATTTAGGTCAAGAAGCTCTAAACAATTCATGTGGGTTTTGTTTTACTCATTTCATTTAAAAAAAGGTACATGAATGCCATGATCAAACTTTCATATGTAGGAAGCCAAATATTTTCAATATGACAAAAATTCGAAAAATCAAAATCCAAAATTTACAAAAGCATGGAAGAATCTGAACAAAACCTTAGAAACAGGACAAAGCGTAACAGAATTGACCATAACCAAAGCCACTTGTCCGTTTTTTTTTTTGCATTTACAACAATACTGTAACAAAAAGAAATGAAAGGAGGGTGATATAAGACACAAATAAATGAAAGTAAGTTCCATGACATCAGGAGACAAGGGTGATGGACCTGAAACCATAAAAGCAAGTTTGTCTTTTATTTTGTTAAATACTAATCTGTTTTCCCCACATAGCATAGGAGATGCACTCTTGCCTGAAAGATATAATATCAGACATATTATATATTCTTTAAAGTATGGAAAGCTAAAACTACAATTAGATTAGAATTGAGTACAAATGTTAATAGACAATCATTACATGATTTAACTTGATAAACAAACCAACAAACAACAATATGTTAAACCTAACACAATTAGTAAAATGCAAATCAATGAAAGTGAAACAAGAAAAAGCATTATTAGGTGCTGGATTCTTTCATGATTACATACCCACAGAAAGAGATTTGACTAGATCATCATGATATTCATAAAAAGGCTGACAGAATCAAACTTGCAATTTTGTCTCTAAATCTAATTGCAATTTCCTTCACCATTGTATTTGTATCTTTCAAGTTTTACTTTAAAGATTAGTTTATTATATCTTACCCATGAATATAATCTTTAAGCGGCCACCACGTATGAAGCCAAACCATGCATCCTTCTTCACCAATTACACAAAATCTTAGAAATGTTAATTATAAAATTGCAATTTCAATTTGTGTCCCATTGACATCAGTCTAATGCATGCCAAAAGCAGAAGAGAAGAGAGTAAGGATTAGTATATTTATACATACCATACGTTTGAACTTCATCTTTGTAGTACACACACAAATTACACCAACAGGGTATGATGGTTGATCATCGGATGTATACTTCTTCTTAGGAACATCCACATCTGAAACAGGAACATCATTCATCAATATTGGTTTAAATGCAAGAAATACTAAAGTAGTTTCATTTTTCCAATTATAGAATTGTGCTTGAAAAAATCTACCCAATTATAGCAATGTCATAAAGTATGTTAATCCCATCATTTCTTAGAGATAATACACAAGCATGACTGCATGAGTTTTAGGAACATAGGGGTATTTCTGGAAACACATAAACATGGTCATAGACTCATATCTTTTGTAATCAGTGGATAGAAGGCAGTAATTTGATAAAGCAAGTTCTCATAATCTCATCACAGAAAGGCATAATCAACCAACACCCTTATTTGAGATTCAATGGAACATAAAAAGCATCAAGTGTTTTATAGTTTTATTTGGTTTCTAAAACATTTTCTTGTTGCAGAGTAATGAATGGAATTTGTCAAACAAGTTGAAATTAAGAATAACAATCAATCTCAGATTAATGTATGGAAGTGGTTCACAAAATACTTTTGAAATGAATGGAATTTGTCAAATGAATTGGTATTTGTCATGTGTATGATTGACATGAAATAGAAAGGATTTCAATTCTATTCTTTTGTTGTTTTGTGTTTATTTTGAAAACCTATCAAAAGAATTGAAGTGCAATATGTTAAATGACAGAAACACCCTTTAGTGGTTTTTTTATAAAATAACAGAATTGCTATATACCAAAGAAGATTTTATTTACGATATTAAACACTAACTATATACACATCAAACATACACTCTAATTTCATAAACATTTTAACAAAAAGAAAGGACACTAATGGTGAAACAATTAGATGGAAAACGGAATAAAAATATTTTACAAAATGACCAACAAAAATGGATGCAAAAGACATAAAACATGAGAAAAACTGGAATGCAGATGCAATTACACTACATGTGCATTATTAGCCTCTTCTGTTAATGAAACCAGACAACAGATAACAGGGCTTCTCTCCAATGTCTTGAGCTTCCCATACCATAACTTTTTTATTTTTCAAAGATATTATTAAACAAGGAAAAGAGAGCACTTACATTCGTTAAATGATTCTTTAGCTGGATTTTGTGTTTAATTCCATCCTACAAATGCAACAAAATTATTGCATTGGCTTTGATTGATGACTACAAGCCACAATTTCCAACATATATGTTTCATTACCACATCAAACCTGCCAAGAAAAGCATACAACCTGTGTCAGAATCATTGATATTCAATAATGAACTTTATCCATTAAGTACTAATAGTAAAACAAGATAATTTATTAAAGTATTGTATGATCCAGTAACAAAAATTGCCACCATAAAGAGAGAGAGATGAAATCCATACTTTTTTCACATAATTGGTTCGGCTGAGATAAGAGGTAACCATAAGATACTTGTTCAAGCATATCACAACTGAATGAAGAGGTTCCTGCAAAAAAAAAAAAATGAAGTTTTTTAACAATATTCTCATACATAATGATTTTATTCACCAAAGAGAATTGTTTATCATCTCATCAGATATACAAAAGTAAACATCAGCATCATTAAGAAGCAGGGGTAAATGATTCATGTTAAAAAGATCCAAAAACTTATATGTCAGTTGAAGAAACAACAAAATACAAACAATAAATTATCTTTCCCTAATTGAATTTCGAATAACTCAATAAGCTGTTTAATATTTTAATTTGGTTTGTGATTATTTAATTCTCTCTACATAATTTAATCCAGCAGCATTTTTACCTTCAAAACAAAGCAAAACAACTCTTTAGGTTAATTAAGACATTTCATCAAACACCTAAACTGCACAGATAAACAATCTACAGCTAAGAAATACTTTTTTGGGTTTCAAAACTAATTAAATTTTACCAACATCAACACTTGCTTGACCAATCATCTTCGTTTGATGGATGCTTTGGTTTCAATTTGGCGACCTGATTCAAAAAACCATTGAATCAAAAGATAAATGGAGGAGAAAGAGAAAAAAAAAAAAACCCCAGAGAGGTCGTAGTGTTAATATCCGTTTTTAAAAAATAAAAAAAATGCATGGGTGCTCTTTTATGCTGTAACTAAATGTAACCCTAAATACTAGAGTAAATTATGTCTTGTTTATTGTACATGTTACATTCTCCGCAACATATATTCCGACCCATGTATTTTCCTTTGTTTTACAATTTTGGACTAATTTCTTTTTCAAATTTGGTCTAAAGCTTTTTTAACAAAGTTCCCTAACATTTTTCATTCATCTAATAAACATTAGCATTTGAGAAAAGTTTGGACATGTTTATATTAATGCACAAGTATAATAATGCTAGTTACAACTTATTATTATACAAGCAACATATTAAATCATTTGTTTATTCTTTTTTTTTGGAACAGTTGAAGAAGAATGTTATAAATATTTTGAATATAAAATGCTATAAATGTTAACCAAAATGAAACAAGTTCAGATTTTCAAAACACAAATCTCAGTTGGTTAGTTTTTTAAAATGCAATGTCTTGATACGAAAATAATTAAATGTACAATGTCAAAAATATTGAACTATAAATTGGCAACCGGAATAAATAAAATAAAAAAATAAAAATAAAAAAAAAAATAAAAAACTTATTTTGAAGGCAAAAGGTCTTGTATTTTAAGTAATCAGCCAAGTAGAATTTGGTATCTTACCTTGGCATCATATATGGTCATTTAGTTTTTTTTTTTTTCTATTTGCTCTTGACTGCTTCAGTTATCCTATCAAATAAACAAATATTAGTAATTGAAATACATAAATTAAGATTTGTTTAGCAGCTTACAATCTTTAGAAATTCATATAACATGGGGAATAACCCTACAAATACAAAGCGATTTCACTGCTTAAAAAAGTAAACTTTTTTTTTAAAAAAAATTGAAAATATGATGGGTAGACTATTCAAAGTGTAATGTCATAGTAAGAAAAAAAATTTCAAAGCATAAATGCCCTAATAAGAAAAAAAACAATGCTATAGTTGGGTGGACATCTAAAACAAAGATGAAAGTCGTAATAATAAAATGGCTGACACTATGCTATAAATAGGTAGATTTTTCCAAAGTATCATGTCATAATAAGCAAAAGTTGCAAGTACAAAAGTGTAATAATAGAAAGAAATGAAACTACAAATAAATGGAAGTAAGAATTGGTGTCCACTTGTAGAACATATTATAGCAAAATCATCAAAGGGTGAAATGTAGAGCAAAAGAAGAGGGTATTACATTAAGAATATGAAATCTAGAGTTGATAAAAAAAACACTACCATTGAACAAGAAAAATGTACATTGATTTAGGCAAATGTCTCTCAGTTTGATGACTGAAACAAACTAATATCAAATCCTAACCTTCGTGAGTGTAATAAAAAGAAATGAAACTAGGATGAAATGACCATAACCAAAGCCACTTGTCCATTTTTTTTTGCATAAAACACAGATAAATGAAAAAGTTGCTATTACAATATATAGTGTAATAAAAAGAAATGAAACTAGGGTGAAACAAGGGTGATGGACCTGAAACCATAAAAGCAAGTTTGTCTTGTCTTTTATTTTGTTAAATACTAATCTGTTTGTCCCACATAGCATAGGAGATGCACTCTTGCCTGAAAGATATAATATCAGACATATTATATATTCTTTAAAGTATGGAAAGCTATCTAAAAGGCTCCCTCCCTTGTGCTGAATTTTTTTTTATATATATAGTTACCTTTAAGTAATGTTTGCCTCTTCGGATTAAATGCAACATTAAACAATCTTTCTCTATGACCACTGCATCAACCACAAACATAACTGAGCATCAACAAGCCATACAAATTGAAAAATAAAATAAATTTATCATCCCCATATCATATACTTGGTTATATAATCAAGGAACACTTAAGAACATAATAGGTCATATACATTGCCCATTAAGTAAAAAAAAAAAAAAAAAAAAACATCAGTTTTGTATGCATGATGTGATTAAGTACAATAAGGAAATCATTATCATGAACTTAATTCAGACAGAAGATGAAATTTGAGTTTCTTACTCCTTGATAAAATCCAACTAAGCCACCATAGTACACCAATAGCACAACTTCTCAGAGCACAAAACTTAGAGAGCAGTGTAAATTATACATTTGGTCCCTGATTGTATAGCTAATTTATGAATTTGGGTCCTTATTATAACATTTCTGGTCCCTGTTCCAAGTAAATTGGCTATTTTTTGTAAATTCGGTCCCAAAATTATTGTCAATTTATAAGAAACAATGATCAAAAAACTTATAAACCTCAAAAAAGAACCAAAATTTAAAAAATCAGCTACACTTAGAGACCAAAATTTTAAAAATACTTAAAAAAATATAGATAAATCATTTAAATACTGTATTTAATTATTGTTTTGATATTCAATAATAAAAATTATCTATTAAAATAATAATATATGGACGAGTAACAAAAATTGCTAACAAAAAAACAAGATGAAACCCAAACTTTATTTAAGATGATTGTCTTAGTAACAATAAGATGCTTGTTCAAGCATAACACAGCTGAAGGAAGAGGTTTCCGCAAAAAAATTATTTTCTTTTTTAACAATATTCTCATATATAATATTTCTAATCACAAAAGAGAATTGATTATTACCTCATCAGTTATGCAAAGGTAAAAACTGACATCCTCTTTATATTGACCACTTGTATTTAATATTTCAACCCACAAAAGACCACACACCATGTGGAATTTCGCTAACTAAAAGCACATTTAAAAAAAATAAATAAATAAAAGAATCAACCAAATAACAAGAATCTTTTGTAACGAATTACTAGGTTACAGAATACAGTTAGTCTGAATTATGCCATGTCATCCAACAATTTCAAGTTATCCTACACGAATGAAAAAACAGTAATCAAGTCATAAAGAAACAGCAGTTTTGCCATGATGTGATTTAGTAGAATAACAAAAAAATCATTATCATGAACTTAATTCAGAAAAAAACATAACATTTTTGTTTCTTACTCTTTGATAAAATCCAGCTGAGCCACCATAGTACGCCAGTATGATCTAGTTGAAATAAGTCCCCTTACTATGCTAAAAAAGGAATAAGTTCACTTATAGTAAGAAATAATTCAACTATACTAGACTTGAAAAGAAAATAAAAAGCATGAGTGAATGTTTCAAAATATTTTTGTAGCAAAGACAATCAAAAAACTGTTTCAAATATGCAAATGCATCTGAGTGTATGTTAAAATAATTGGAATGGAAACATAACTTAATTAAACAGAAACATAAAACTTTATGCACAACTTTAAGTTATAGAACCATAGCACACTTCTGAGTTAAAAATACTAACAAATACATTATCTTTCCGTGAGTGAATCTCTGATAACCCAATAAGTTATTTAGTATTCTAATTTTGCTTGTGGTTATTTACTTATCTCTACGTAATTTTATCCAGAAACATTTTTACCCTCAAAACAAAGTAAAACAACTCTTTAACTTAATGCAGACATTTCATCAAACACCTAAACTGCATAGAAAAACAATCTATAATTAAACCATACTTTTTTGAATTTCAAAACTACTTAATTTACCGACATCGCCACTTCCTTGACCAATCATCTTCGTTTGATGGAAGCTTTCATGCTTTGAATTCAATTTGACGAAAAATATTCAAAAAACCAACAAAGAAAAAAATAGATGGAGGAGAAAGAGAAAGAAACCCAGAGCGAAAAAAGACCTGTGCTCTTTTTCTTGATCGATGATGACCTTGAACCGAACTGACGGATGAATCCAGTAATGAAGAAAAGAGACCTGAAGAATCTTGGCCTATTGAAAATACCTAACAAAAACAAAAATAAAATCAATAATACAAATAAAGGAATCATGAACGTTACCTAAGAGACGAAGAGGGAAACGCAGAGGATTCTTGAACGCCGGAAAATGAAAGAAACAGGAAGTGGTGCTGTCGCTAGAAGAAAAGAGGAGAAGGTGGCGCCTCCAAATAAAACCCTCTTCCTCTTCTTCTTCTTCTTCTTCTTCTTCTTCTTCTTCTTCTTCTTCTTCTTCTAAGAAACATGTCTCCGGTGGCGTTTGGAGAACAGCGGATGAGTGAAGAAGGTATATATTAAGCGCCAATAGACCGACCCAACCCTTTCGACTTCCGGATTCCAACGGTTCTTTTTTATAAACCTAAATGCCAATCATAAGATAACGTCTTCCTAAATTACGATACTAACAAACAAAACTTTTCCATTTATCTTAAGCCACATGACCCTAACTTTTGACTTTTACCATTTAAACAGTAAATTTATCCTTTATTGTAAAATTGGTATCTTACTCTCTCATTTTACATGTTAAGTTTTAACCATTTTTTTTTATCTAATTTGGTCCAATCCTCTTTTAGAAAGATTTTCAAATATTTTTTACTACTTTCTTTTTATATATATTTCTTAAAACTTAGCTTTTTTAGTTATTTTGTTACAACTATTAAATCATTTTTATAAAATTAGTTATTTTACTTAAAAAATGGTTTGTGTTGTATGCATGTTTCTAAAATTCCTTTATTATTATAAATTACAATTCATACTGTAAGTCTTTCTTTTCATTTATCACCTATTTTTTTGTATATTAAAATAAATCATTGAAGTCTTACAAGAAGGATGTTTATTTTCGCTTCGACTGTCAGCTACGGGCTCTCCATCTCTCCTAAACTTCTCCTGGGTTTCGGCCCGAGCTGTATGAGGCAGAAACTCGTCCCACGTACGGTTCGGAGGCCGAGCCCCTTCGTTTCTTGTATTTTACAAAAAATAATTTTTACAAAATTTTAATTTTTTTTTATCAAATTGTTTTTATAAAAGTAGTTTTTTTAAGTCATTTTTTTACAAAGATTTAGATCTTCTGTTTGAAACATGTATTTTAAGATTTTCCCTGTATTTACAAATATATTTTTTCAAAAATCAACTTCTACTTTTTTACATATTCATTTTATGCGTGTCTAGTTGTAAAAATATATTTAAAAAGTTCTATTTTTTAACATATTTGTTTATAAATAAATAAATAAAACTAAAAGTGCAGCTTAAGGGAATACACTTTCATGCTATAACTAAATGTAACCCACCTTTTATCGTAAATTACAATTATATCTTGTTTGTTGCACACGTTATATTTTTCACAACGTATATTATACATCATGCAATTTCTTTTGTTTTACAATTTTGGAACAATTATTTTTTTTTCAAATTTTTTCCAAACCTTATTTTTTACAATTTTTCCATAACATATAACAAAAGAATTTAGCATTTGACAAAATTATAGACACATTTGATAGTAAGTTTAAGCAAAAGGGGAAAATGGATGATATCATTAGTTTCTAATTAACTTTTTCTTTATACACACACAATTTATCACTATACACAAAGATAATATTACTAGTCACAACTTATTATATAATCAACATATTAAATCATTTCTAAAACATATAAATTTGATTAATTCTATTTTTTATTATTAAAAACTTAAATTTATCGATAATTTTATTTATCCATAGTTTCTATTAATGTTTTAGGTTGCATATTATAATGTTTAAATAAACTAATATTTGTATGTATTTGTAGTAATCTTTACGTTTTAATTAATTTGTTTTAGATTTCATAGAACATCATTGTTAAACTAAACATTCAACACAAAACATGTATTCAAATAAACATCAATTCAAAAGCTTAAGATGTTTATATGTTATACATTCTTCATAATATTTGTGTGTAACGTCGACACTATAGCATAGAGCAATCAACGATGGAACTTTGTATGGTCATAAGTCAACATTTCTAAAAACGACATACAAAATCCCCTACACAACACACTGATGTGGTACCCTTACAATACTAGTACGTATTTGAAGCTCTCATGTGACATCCGTAAGTTAGGACTAAATTGTAACATCTCGGAAATTAGGTATATTTATTATCTCTTGAAATTTTATCAAAAATGACACATTTGGTCCGTTGAAGAAAAAGTCTTTTGGATTAGGTCGTATGTAGGGCATACATATAAGTGTGTGCAACATACTCATGTAGTGTGCATGATCACGGATGGCCAGCTAGTACGTTGGGTGTACATGTGGTACGCTGAGCATATTAGCCCGGACTCCAAACCCTAATTTCATGGGTTACTCCCTGCATAAAGAATATTAAGTCCTTTTTTGGTCACCCTTATCAGCCTCCAAACCTTCCCTAAACCCTAATCCCGAGTTTGAGTGTTTGTGTGAGCCCTGCAAGTTCATTTGTGTTTTGGTGCATTTAGTTGAAGGAAGCTTGAGAAGAAAAAGTGGGTGTTAGCAAGCTTATAGATCCAGAAAGCTCCCCTCCTTGTGCAACATATTCAGCTATAAAGTGTGTACCTTGACAAGTCTTTCATTAGGTCTCTATGTTTGAAGTTTTAAGAGTTTTGTCCCCAAAGATTGGACCTTTATGAGTTTGGGGCACTCCAGGGGTTTGTAGTTGTCCTTTCATCTATTATGGGACTTGTGGATTCATAAAAATGGTAGCTTGATCGCTTCTTTTGGTTCACGCATGAGCAAAATAGCTTAGAATGTGTTGGGAGTTTATGAATGTTGCTTTGGGACTTTTTTCTAGTCATGCAAATGCTTAAAGTTGATAACTTTATGATTTTAGACGTCTTACAATGGTCGGATCTACGTTTGGGAGTAATTGTATAAAGGGTTTAAGACACAAGTTGGTAGAAAGGGGAACAGACGGAGTACATTGGGCGTACTCCTGGCTAGGGGTGAGCATGGTGCGGTTTAGTGCGGTTATTCGTCCAAAACCTCACCACTAACAACAAATACGGTTAATCAATTTTCAAAACCGCTTTGTGCGGTTATTTTGTGGTGTGGTTAGACAGTTATTTTTGCGGTGCGGTTTTGTTTATTTGTGTTTTGGTTATTAACCGCATGGATTTGGTGCGGTTATTTTTTGTAATTTTTAACCGCAGTTTAGAGTTCAAACGGTTTTAAGAGTTCAAACATATTATTTGTAGTAATAAAAACCATAAGGTATAAGACAATTAACTTAAATCACAAAAGACAAATATCTTAAAAACGTCAAATCACTAGTAATTAACAACAAACATATTAAAATTGTCAAATTTAACCATTTTCTAAAGTTAAAAATAACAAAAAATAAACACTTTTGTCTCCTAAAATTTCATCCTTATTTCACTCATGAAACTTAGCTTAATTTTAATATTTAATATATTAATAATTAATTAAATTCTATATAATATATGCGGTGAAGTGTGGTTTTTTGCGGTTTTTAAAAACTAATAACCGCACCACAAATTTCTAGTTTTTGAAAAACGTAAAACTTCACCATCGGTTTTTATTGCAGTTGTAGTTTATGCGCTTTTTGCAGTTAATTTTAGTTGCAGTGCGGTTTTTGCTCATCCCTACTCCTGGCTACACCCCACACAGTCCCAACCTCGTCATTTCACTGATCCGGTAGTTCAAGTGCTAGGTTTTCGTGTCGTCAGTTTCAGGTCACTTATTCTTACATGTGTAGTAGGATATTTCTATTTATGATGACCAGTTGGTTCTAGCTATTTTGGTTATGTTATGCTATTTATATGTGACTGAGGTTGCTGATAGCCAACCAGAGTTGCTGATAACCCACAGGGCGTATTGTTAGCCCGCTGAGACTGCTTGTAGCACCTGGTTTCCGGTATGTGAATTTTATTTGAGCATTGCCCTATTTTAGCCTTGGACTCGGCGAGTCATAAGGTCCGACTCGCCGAGTAGGGACGAGACTCGGGACACGTTTAAGTGGGCGACTCGGCGAGTCCATATCCTGGACTCGGCGAGTCACCGCTGTTGGATGAAACCCTAAGTTTCAAGGGTTTGCACCCTATTTAAACCCTCATTCCGCCCCAACTCGTCCCCATTCACCCCCAGAACTCCCCCAACATCGTTTTCCCTTATTTCCTTGAGAGATTGAAGTGTTCTTGGTGTGTTCTTGAAGGTTTTGAGGAGAAAGAGGAGTAGATCAAGAAGAGGAGAAGGAGATCAGCCATCTTTGTGTCATTTCAACATTTTCCTTGAGGTATATCTCGTTTTTCCCCTGTTTCTATGCTTAGGATTTCATTTGGGACACTCTTGAGCAATTCTTCAAGCTTGTTTGTGCTTAATGATTCGTAATAAGTGGATTAACCTTTAGATCTAGGCAAGATTGAGCTCCAGGAGCTCAGGTCTGTGAGCTTTATGGCCCCATGTGGCTTGTTCATCCTAGATTTACCCTTTTGAGGCATTTTGCACCCTAAAATCCACATTAGTGAATATCCACACGTAAAGTTGGAAACTTTACGTGTGATTTGTGTCCTAGAAGTCCAGATCTATGAATGGCATGGACTGAAATCGAGTAAATCTGTGTATTTGGTGGATGCATGGTGACGACTCGGCGAGTCTGGTCGCGAGTCACCGATTTGGTCCCTTCCTGATGTGTCGAGTTGAGCCGTGAGTCACAGGGGGTGACTCGGTGAGTTGGGAGCTGAACTCACCCATGTTAGGACTCGGCGAGTTAATGCCCTGACTCGGCGAGTCCAAGGCAATCTTCATAGATCAAAAACAGACTCGGCGAGTTGTTCATACAACTCGGCGAGTCTTAGCATAAAGTGTTCTTCGGATGAAGATGAACTCGACGAGTTGTTCATACAACTCGGCGAGTAGGATGAAGGAGTTGAATGACAGTTAGAAGGTGAACTCGTCGAGTCATAGCCCGACTCGACGAGTAGAACCAGGGACCCAGGACAATGGTTTGCTAGGGACTCGGCGAGTGGTGATCCACTCGGCGAGTCGGGTCAATTGAAAGTTGACTCTATCATTGGCTTAGAGCTAGACCAGGGGTAAAATGGTCATTTTACCTAAAGGACAGTTAGCAGTGTTTGATTGAGTATGTTGTGGGAATTGCAGCCGGAGGACTCCCGGAGCAGCAGCAGTCAGTTAGTTCCCGATCAGTTCAGCAGCTACTTTGAGGTGAGTTACCTTACAGTTGTTGATTTATATGTGGCAGGTACTTCACAGGATCGCGGGAAGGCGAATGTCTGATTGTACACGCGTGCTGGGAGATTTACTACTGGGACATGTTTATGAACTCTGATAATTATGATACTGGTTGTTTTAGGATAATTATGTATTTGATAACTTGGTTGTGAAACACTGATTTTGGTAATTTAAAAATGAAAATTTTGATCTAGAATTTGAGGTGTTACAATTCGGTATCAGAGCCCTGGTTTGAGGGATTTGG